GTAACGATCAACACGCTCACATTCAGCTGTCACTATAGTAACGATCAACACGCTCACATTCAGCTGTCACTATAGTAACGATCAACACGCTCACATTCAGCTGTCACTATAGTAACGATCAACACGCTCACATTCAGACGTCACTATAGTAACGATCAGCACGCTCACATTCAGACGTCACTATAGTAACGATCAGCACGCTTCTATCTGCTGAGTTGTTGAATGGTCATTACCATGGTAACTCTGTCGTGCGGGTCTCTCCTGCTCTTTATGATGTTCAGTGATGATCATGTAGAGCATCAGCTGGATCTCTCTGGGCTTGATGATCGGTTCTGGCAGTTTATTCAGTAAAGACGTGTGCGTGTTTGGTTTGGTGTCTGTGAGATATTAATGTCTCTCTCTCTCTCTCTCTGTGTGTGTGTGTGTGTGTGTGTGTGTGTGTGTGTGTGTGTGTGTGTGTGTGTGTGTGTGCGTGCGTGTGTGCGTGTGTGCGTGTGTGTCCACCAGAATGCAGAGTCCGTGGAGGTGGACAGTATTCCTCTTCCAGAAATGCCTCACGCTCCCTCCAGCATTCTCATCCAGGACATCCCACTGCCCGGAGCCCAGCCACCCTCCATCCTGAAGAAAAGCAGCGCACTGGGGTGAGCAGTACTGTGATTGTTATAGCGTTACTGTGATTGTTAGCATTACTGTGATTGTTATAGCGTTACTGTGATTGTTAGCATTACTGTGATTGTTATAGCGTTACTGTGATTGTTAGCATTACTGTGATTGTTATAGCGTTACTGTGATTGTTAGCATTACTGTGATTGTTATAGCGTTACTGTGATTGTTAGCATTACTGTGATTGTTATAGCGTTACTGTGATTGTTAGCATTACTGTGATTGTTATAGCGTTACTGTGATTGTTAGCATTACTGTGATTGTTATAGCGTTACTATGATTGTTAGCGTTACTGTGATTGTTATAGCGTTACTGTGATTGTTAGCATTACTGTGATTGTTATAGCGTTACTATGATTGTTAGCGTTACTGTGATTGTTATAGCGTCACAGTGATTGTTGGCAATACTGTGGTTGTTGTTGTTGCTGTGATTGTGATGACGTCATTGTGATTGTTAGCGTTACTGTGATTGTTATAGTGTCACTGTGATTGTTAGAGTTACTGTGTTTTTTTTACATCACTGTGATTGTTATAGCATCACTGGGATTGTTTGCATTACTGTCATTGTTATAGCGTTACTATGATTGTTAGCGTTACTGTGATTGTTAGCATTACTATGATTGTAAGTGTTACTGTGATTGTTATAGCATCACTGTGATTGTTAGCGTTACTGTGATTGTTAGCATTACTATGATTGTAAGTGTTACTGTGATTGTTATAGCATCACTGTGATTGTTAGCGTTACTGTGATTGTTATAGCATCACTGTGATTGTTAGCGTTACTGTGATTGTTATAGCATCACTGTGATTGTTAGCGTTACTGTGATTGTTATAGCATCACTGTGATTGTTAGTGTTACTGTGATTGTTATAGCATCACTGTGATTGTTAGCATTACTGTGATTGTTAGCATTGCTGTGATTGTTAGCATTGCTGTGATTGTTATAGCATCACTGTGATTGTTAACGTTGCTGTGATTGTTAGCATTCCTGTGATTGTTAGCATTGCTGTGATTGTTATAGCATCACTGTGATTGTTAGCGTTGCTGTGATTGTTATAGCATCACTGTGATTGTTAGCATTGCTGTGATTGTTAGCATTGCTGTGATTGTTATAGCATCACTGTGATTGTTAGCGTTGCTGTGATTGTTAGCATTGCTGTGATTGTTATAGCATCACTGTGATTGTTAGCATTACTGTGATTGTTAGCATTGCTGTGATTGTTAGCATTGCTGTGATTGTTATAGCATCACTGTGATTGTTAACGTTGCTGTGATTGTTAGCATTCCTGTGATTGTTAGCATTGCTGTGATTGTTATAGCATCACTGTGATTGTTAGCGTTGCTGTGATTGTTATAGCATCACTGTGATTGTTAGCATTGCTGTGATTGTTAGCATTGCTGTGATTGTTATAGCATCACTGTGATTGTTAGCGTTGCTGTGATTGTTAGCATTGCTGTGATTGTTATAGCATCACTGTGATTGTTAGCGTTGCTGTGATTGTTATAGCATCACTGTGATTGTTATAGCATTACTGTGATTGTTAGCGTTGCT